AGAATTGGAATAATGTTATTATAGTCAAAACTAAAAGTGAACTTAAGTTTTAAATTTCTGTAACAAACAAACAGCAATAATAATAATCCTTTATATAATAAAGCTATATGGTTTGGGAAATAATTAATGTTACAATTAATGCCACAACATCCTTTATTATAAAAAAAAAAAAACACAACATTTAAAAAATAAAATATCTATATATTATATAATCATATAAAAAATATACTTTTGAAAAATAAAATAGCTATATATATTATATAATCATATAAAAAATGTGTTCAATTAGAGTTTAAATTTACACATACAAAATTTGAAATTTGCTTTCCAAATGTAATTATCTTAGTTATTATTCGTATTGTGAAAATTATAATATAGATGAAATACAATTAAGAATAAATCAATGTAATTATGTAAATTCTCGTTTATTTGAATATGCACATAATTAGAGACTATATTAACCATACAAAATTATAATTATAATTATAATTTTAATTTTAATTGTAATTTTGTATTCTATAAAAATAATAAATACTTGACCAATGGAATTATATTAAATAATTTAAAATATTTTAGTTTTTTTTTTTATTTATATTTATAATAGCATAATTTTTTCCCGTGCATCGCGCGGGTGAATTACTAGTACTAATAATAATAATAATAATAATAATAATAATAATAATAATAATAATTTGGCTGAAGTTTGTGTGCTGACTGCTAACTGTAATATTTTTAAATAATATTGATATTTCCATTTTCATTGGTAGGATGTTTTGTTGGTGCAAGCAGATCGAGGATCTATAGGAAAGTGATAGTCCAACCTTAAAGCTTCAGATAACCTTAATACTATGGAACTATCAGAACTGGTAATGGCACTTTTTGTTCCTCCCTAAAAGGAAACAAAACTGTAACTAAATATTGCATAAATAATATAATATATTACAAAAAATTTTAACAGATACGATAGTCAATAGGGGCTTATAATCATCATTTAAAAAAAATGATACTTCTATTAAAAAAATGGTTTAAAAGTTTTCCCATGAATTATAGTGCATGAGTCTCTATAATGTATTTCACTAGTGATTTTTTTGAGTACTTATTTCACTAATGATTCTTTTACCATAGTTGTATTTTATATAGAGACAATTCTTAAAAGGTTGAATTCTTTACATAAAGGATCCCTCACATTTCGGTCTAACAGAGTATTTGAAAGGATGTAAATCATGGTGACTTAATGATTCAGCAGATAAAGTTAAATGTATATTACAGTTATTCAATAACTTAACAGATAAAATTAAATGTCGATGCACACAAACAATCTGTTCACTTTAAATATAATTCATATTCGATCCTTGGTGTAAAAGAAGGAAGTGTTCTTATTACTCAAATGGTTGGTCAAGGAACAGAAAAAGCATAAAAAAAATGGTGAAGATAATGGATTTGGTTGGTCAAAAATAGGAAAAAGAGGGGTTAGTGGGGGCTAGATCACGTGACGAAACCACGAGGTATGTTTATAAAGGATGCCACCAAACGGGGGACACTTGGCCCATTCCCTACACTCTGACAAAACCGAATCTTAGCGCGCCGTACAAGGCGCCTGAGCACAACGTCGTACTGCGATTCACCACGTTTCCACCTTCCCACGTGACCTGCCGGTCCCCTGTTTCACACGTGTCCTTGTTTTCTCTATCCGCTATCTGTTTCTCTTTTGTTCTTTTATGGACTATAATACCAGTATACCACGCTTATTACTACGGATTTCGTATTATTTAATGAATCATAATGATGAAGTTGACAAACTTTTTTTTTTTTTTTTTTTAATTCTCATAATTTTGTATAAATTAGAATTGATTTTAATCTCATAATTTTTTTTTACAAATTAGTATTGATTTTAGTAAAATAATACGTAGTAATTTTGTTTGGTAATGCATATTCATTAATCAGATAATGTATTTTTAAAAAATAAACTTTTAATACAATAAAAACATATTTTGTATTAGTGGTTCATTTTACAAGACAGACCATGGTCCATGATATAATGGTTGCGATCTTGTGATTATATTGGGACCACTTAGCACAACGCAAGCCCAATACTGGAAAATCATAGCACTATAGTTTATGATTACAAACTAATTTAAATTCAATAATAAAGTAACAAAAATAGATATATAAACATAATGACTAGATCAAATGATCAAATCTAATAATAAAGTATGAAAGTACTCAACCAAACGGCACTCAATATTTTTCTTTGTCACATTCGCAAGAATTTTTGTACTCTATTTTTGGATTAATGGAATAACGTATATATAGTCAAAATAAGTTCGAATTAGCTCAAGCCAAGCTCAAGGCCCATTGGACTTTCAACTACTGCCCATGGTTGAATCGTTTGGTTTCGAAGTATAATTGAATCCCTCTCAATTATAATTCAAATTACACTAATTTTATCTATACATTTAATCAAATTGAAATTGAATCATGATCACTTCTTATCTTCTCTCAAATGTACTAGTGAGCTAAACTCGTGTGGGCTTGAATCATGACCACGAATCACCTCTAAAGGTGTGTTTAGTTTAAGATATATCAGAGTTTTATGTAAGTGTTATCTTGAGGTTTTTTTTTTTTTTTTTTTTTTTTTAATTGTAAATTTATTTGATGTGTTGGGTTTATGTGGGTTGGCCTAACATGGACCCGAAATAACATTAAAAAAAATTGGCAAAAAAATAAATTGAATATGAGAATTTTTAGGTAAAAATCATGTGCTTATTACAATATTGTCGAGCTAAATTTATTATATTTCAAGAATTTTTTTTTTTTTTTTACATAAGTTGATGGATGTGATTGAGTGAAAGAGATTCATCTCTCCTTAATCAAATGTCAATGATTCGATTATTGACTTTTAGAGTCGAAAAAAAAAAGACATGGTTTAATCAATAGAAAGATATTAGACATTAATTTTAGGTTAAAATAAGATATGAATAATTTTGTCACAAAGTTAGTTATTTTTTTTTCTTCCTAAATGCTCCCAAATGCTTTGTCGGGCCGGGGTGTGGGGGGCCCTTAGGGTTGGGGTTCAGCCTTTTGGAATAAAATCCAAGGAATAGAAATACCGAGGCATGAGATTCTAATTCTATAAAAATGAGGGAATTGCAATTCTCTCCAACTAAACTAAAGAATTTTAATTTCTTGCCTTCCGAATTAGTTGGAAATGGAATTATAATTCGTTCAAACCAAATGCCACATAAGAAGATAAAACAGCTTAGGTATTCATAACTCGTAACTAACCTACTCAACCGACATGGCGTTTGGTTCACTGTAATTTACCTGTAGTTGAATTGCAATTCAGTGGATGCCCCAATTACAGTGTTTGGTTGGAGGGAATTGCAATTCCACCAAATTGCAATTCAATAAATTTGAGAAAGGAAAAATATATGAAATGACATTACTACTCTTGGTTGTTATTACTATTATTATTATTACACAAGGATATTTTAGTCTTTATACCACTTATTTCCTTCCTAATTCTAATAATTCTATTTCTCGCTACCAAACAACGCAATTTAAATTCCTATTTAGTCACACCTTATTCTTTTCCCACTGAATTATAATTTATTTCCCTTCTAATTAATTTCTTCATTTCAACCAATCGTGTCGTTAAATAGGCTTGTTCCGAGGGTGAAGTTAGAATTGTGAGCAAAGATGTCAATGTAAGTGCAGATACTGAAAATCTTGGCAGGTTGATTTGAAAGGGAGAGGCAGCCGACGACAATGCTTAACTTGTCTTTTCCAAGCTTTCAATTTACTTATTCATTATCAACTTATAGGAATAGGCAGCAAATTGTGAAGGGTATTCATTCCTCAATCTTTTAAACTGGGTAAAAGACAAAATAGGAAACTCTGGGTCATTCATTAATGGAAAAATGGCACTTTTTCCCCTTTTGTTATATACCTATAGCACTTTTTCCCCTTAAATTATTTAAGTGGCAGTTTTTCCCTCCTGATATATTAAATGGACATATTTACCCTTAAAATAAATATTTCATTTATTTTTCTTCTCCAACAAATTATAACCACGATTTGAAAAAATAAAATACATTAAGTGTTAAATTTAGAATAAGAATAATACGGCGAGACTCCTTAGTTACTCAAGAAACTACGTTGATATTGAGGTAACTATGACAGGTAATCCGGCCTGGAGAATGACGTGTTACTATGGTTATTCGGACCGTAATAGGCGTGCTGAATCATGGGATTTGTTGAGAATGTTGGCGGCAAAATCGAATCTCCCGTGGGTGGTGGTGGGGGATTTTAATGATTTGCTATACCAGTATGAGAAGAGAGGGGGAAATCCACATCCGAATAGCCTTCTTCGCCTCTTTAGACGGACTGGATGGTGAAGAAGGTACGACTACCATTGCTCCTGGCAGTACAAACGGGGAAGGCCAGAATGCAAGGACCGATAATCAAAGTGGGAATCACAATCTCCCAAGAATTAGGACAAATCATCAACCTAATGCGTTGAACGCGTTACCCCAGAAGGCACCAGCCATCATTACTACTATGGCGCAACCATTCAATACCCCCACCCCTTCACAAGCCCATCGAGGTGCATTTAGGAGCAGGGGTGGCATACGAGGAACATCGAGGAGAGCGGCCGCCGAAAGGGAACACACGGTGGTTCGCGGCTCCTCTCGAGGGGGGTGCACCACCAGTACGGTGGTCTTTCGTCCAAACATTCACTTGAACGCAGCCCCAATGGAAGTGCTAGAGGAAGGGGAGACTAGTGCCCAACACGAATTCGTAGGATTGCCGACTATACCTCCGGAACCTCCAGACGTCTCTATGGGGCTGGTGGAGGACCGTGTTGGCCAGAATGGCCCTGATACAACTTCTGCTGCTTTGCGCTCCTGAGCGCCCCGCTTCTACGCCCCTGCGCAGATTAGTTCTTTTTCGCTTTTGAGCGTCTCTGCCTTTTTCTTCTTTTTGTTTTAATGATTTGTATGGTATGGAATTGTCAAGGGGCGGCGTCAGCAGGCTTTCACCGCACCCTCAAACAACTCATTTGGGAGCATAAACCTTCCATCGTCTGCTTATTAGAGCCTAAAGTATCGGGAGACCAAGCAAATGCCATTTGTGCAGGCTTTGGTTTTTCCGAGTGGGTTAGAGTAGAGGCTTTTGGATTCTCGGGAGGAATCTGGATCCTCTGGAAAGAGACCTTACTTGTTAACATAATGTTTACTCACCCTCAGTTTGCTGTTTTACAGGTTGGAGAAGGAAGATCAGAACCATGGTTCCTTTCGGTGGTTTATGGTAGTCCAAACCTCCAACTGCGCAGAAGCCTTTTCTCTGATTTGTCTAGCCAGAGCCTCGGTATCCAAGGCCCCTGGTTGACAGCAGGTGACTACAACACGGTAGCATCTCAAAGTGAAGTTAGCAATCCCGGAACGTTTAATTCTACAAGATGCTCGGAGTTTAACGAGTGGATCTTTCGCGAAGGCCTAATTGACCTAGGATTTGAAGGACCAAACATCACTTGGAGGAGGGGTATTAACTCGGAAACATTCAAGGGCGCCCGATTCACCGATTGGATAGAGCACTAGGCAACTTAGAATGGAAATCAAACTTTCCAAACACCGTTGTCCAACACCTTCCGATGGTATCCTCTGACCACTCTCCCCTTTTAATTAATACTAACCCATCTCATGCCAATGTTAGCAGGAAGAACTTCAGATTCAATTATGCTTGGACCACACACCCAAAGTTCGTAGAATTAGTTAGACAAACATGGAAACCAGGAGAAGACTTGGAATACAATAAACGAGCTATGGCCAAGGCATTCTATGAATGGAACATACACGTTTTTGGCAACATATTTCGAAGGAAAGATCGCATCTTGGCTAGAATCAAGGGAGTTCAATGCAGTCTAGGCCTCAGAGTCACCTCAAATTTACTAAAGTTAGAGAAAAAGCTTCAAAAAGAACTAGAAGATACCCTCTACCAAGAAGAACTTCTTTGGTTCCAACGTTCAAGAGAGGAGTGGATAACGTCAGGCGACCAGAACACTCATTACTATCACATGGCTACGGTAGTTAAGAACTGCAGCAGTAAAATCACTAAGTTGATAGATGACTCAGATGCTTGGATAACTGAAGAATCAAGTATAAGGAATCACGTGAAGGACTACTTTTCGAGCCTATACTCTAAGGGAGCAGCCTCACCTCCCCAAGAATGTCTCAGCAGTCAGTTTCCTGCTATTTCTCAAGAAGATTGGGCACACATTGAAAAATCAATCTCCACGGAAGAGATCAAGGCAGCCCTGTTCAGCATGGAACCTTGCAAAGCTCCGGGCCCAGACGGCTTTAGTGCGGCTTTCTATCAAAATTCATGGGGTGTAGTAGGTGACTCTGTTGTCAGTTTTGTCAAGAGATTCTTTGAGGATGATATTATGTTGGACTATTGCAATGACACATCAATTGTGCTCATCCCAAAAGTGACCTCTCCGGAATCGATAAAACAGTTTCGCCCCATCGGACTCTGTAACGTATCATATAAGATAATAACGAAAGTCATGGCGTCTAGGCTCAAGGATATTTCCAGCAAACTAATTGGTCCACATCAGACAAGTTTCGTCCCTGGCAGACAGATAACTGACAATATCATGGTCTTCCAAGAGGTCCTCAATTCCATGAGACACAAAAAAGGAGCTTCGGGATGGATGTTAATGAAGATTAACCTAGAGAAAGCTTACGACAGGCTGAGCTGGGAATTTATCGAAGACACGTTGAAGGATATTGGACTCAGTCATAGCTGGGTCAGGAACATCATGAACTGTGTGACCACGTCAAGGCTTTCTACCATATGGAACAATCATCAGTCCGACTGGTTCAAACCTGAGCGAGGAATTCGTCAAGGAGATCCAATATCCCCCCTCTTGTTTGTACTCTGCATAGAAAGACTTAGCCATCTGATCAAGGAATCAGTGACCTCAGGTAGGTGGAAAGGATTCAAAATTAACAACCACGCTCCTAACATTACACATTTATTTTTTCCAGACGATTTGGTTCTCATGGGGGAAGCTACAACTCGTCAAGCTGAGGAAATGAAGGCCTGCCTGGAAAAATTTTGTGTTAGCTCTGGCCAGAGAGTTAACCTACTTAAATCTGCAACCTTCTTCTCCAAAAACATACCCGAAGATCTACAGCTAGAAATTGTGAATCTAACAGGGATTCCCAGAGTTTTGGACCTGGGCAAATACTTAGGAGTCCCCTCCATTCATGGGAGATTAAAGAATGAGTCATTTGCAGGCATCCTGCAAAGAATCCAATCAAGACTTGCAGGCTGGAGATCCCGAACATTGTCCCTGGCCGGAAGGATGACTCTTGCGAAATCAGTTCTTTCAACAATACCATACTATACGATGCAATCAACTCTTCTACCGGCCGGCGTTATCTCTTCAATTGAGAAACTAGTGCGAAGCTTCTTATGGGGGGGGGGGGGGGGCAACGGGGATTCAAGTAGCTGCCACCTCGTCAATTGGGACACGGTAACTAAGGATAAACGCAATGGAGGCTTGGGCATAAGGAGATTGGACCATATGAACCAAGCCTTTATGGCTAAACTCGGTTGGAGATTGGCGCAAAATGAAGACTCATTATGGGTTCATCTGTTCAAAGCAAAATATGCAGTAACCACACCTTGCTTCTCGGACTGGGCACCGAAGCCGAATATGTCGAACGCCTGGAGAGGTATCCTGAAAGCAGTCCCCATTCTGCAGAAAGGAACCAGGAAAATTGTTAAAAATGGCAAGAATACGAGCTTCTGGTTAGACACCTGGATAGAGGACTATCCATTGCAGCAAATTGCACTTTCTCCCATACCACAATCAGAGCTTCTAAAACCAGTAAGTAACTACTGGGATCTTACCCTTGGCTGGAATTGGGCCACGCTAGAAGGGCTGCTACCAGAGGAAACTCTCAACAAAATCGCAGCCATGTTTGTTTGTCATAAACACGAAGAACCCGACTTTTTAGGCTGGTCGAAGGAAAATAGCGGATTGTTCTCGGTAAGCTCAGCATATAATCTGGCCTCAGACCAGGCTCCACCGCCACAGGCAGCGAAGTGGAACAACATTTGGAGATTGAAAGTCCCCAACCGCATCTCAGCTTTTTTATGGTTAGCTAAACACGAGAGACTCATGACGAATAGCAACAGAGTAAGACGCGGATTCTCAGCGTGTGACAAATGTTGGCTATGCAGAGACGTGGTGGAAGACACGGAACACGTGCTACGAAAATGTCCAGCAGCGGAGGAAGTCTGGAATATTATCTTTCCTGCCCAGATCACAAGCCCTGAGGCGTTTATTAATTGGCTGGATGCAGGAATTGCAGGAAGGAGCAAGGGCAGAATTCCCATTAACACCAATGTAATATTTGCCGTAACGTGTTGGTGGCTATGGAAATGGCGCAACGAGGCTATCTTCAGAAGTTCAATCAAACCGCTAGCCATCAAAGTTGCCTGGATCAAAACTCAAATCGAGGAGATTAACAATGCTTTTGCCAGAGCTAAAGGTGCCAAGTCAAGTCAAGCATCTGCCAAATGGAACTTAATAAAATGGGAAAAACCAGAAGAAGGTCGGATCAAAATCAATGTCGACGGGGCCGTTGATCTAAGCTCAGGTATGGCAGGTTGTGGCGGAGTGCTAAGAGACTGGAATGGGCAATGGTTAGGAGGTTTCATGTCAAGTCTCGGTATTTGTTCACCAGTGGTAGCAGAAGCCTGGGCCTTGTTAAAAGGCATTCAACTAGGTTCCTCAAAAGGCTTTACGAAACTGGATTTCGAAAGTGATGCCAAGGAAATCAAAGAGGGCATCCTTAGCAACAGAATCACAGATACCACTGCCCAAAACATACTCAGAGCATGCAGATTTGAGCTATCCAAGTTGGATGATTGGTCCATTACAAGCATCCTAAGAGAACAGAACCGGGTGGCGGACGCATTGGCTTCCAAGTCCAGAGGCTTACCAAGAGGAAATCAGATCCTTGTAGCTCCACCAGCCAGTATTGGTGGCTTTCTAGATGACGACGCTGATGGCCCTCCTGCTTGGCGATATGCCAGTGTATAAATTGGTTTACTTTGGATTTCCCCCTTCCGATTTAAATAAAAAAAAATGGTTGTTAATATTTTTATAATTATATTATTGTACATTACTTTACAAATAATGCACTATTATTTTTATAAAATTGACCCTTTGTTTTTTTTAGTTTTATATATTTTTTAATTGTCAGATCTATTATATCAATGATTAACATTTGTTCACATTTTTTCCAGAAACCCTTATTATCATGGACAGGGTGACCATACAAGCCCCCAATTTTGTAAATAAATATCATTTATATAATTCATTATTTTCCTCATCAAAAATAGCACCCGATATGCAAATAAACTCATAACACACATAAAATGATTACTTGTTTTGTTCGTCTTAATCAATGAAATACTTTAATACAATGATATAAAAAATTATAGTAAGTCGTCATTCAATTTGCGTATTAATTTACGTATTGATCTTATGAATATATCATATTGAAAACGATCAGTTTTGCTTTATTAATGCTCAAATCTCTTCTAAATATAAAAGCAGTAATAATTAAAGTGGTATGAGAATATGAGATTGATGTTAGATGTGACCAATTAATATAATATGCCCTAATTAAGTTTCGTAATGAGTGTTGATATTGACAAAAAGAATTTACTAGATAAGTATGATGGATACTCTAGCGGCTAGCCACCGTTAATATATGTAGAGAGTTTATATCACTTTCGAGGGTGATTTCACTTGCATGGGTGATTGAACTAGTAGCTAGAGTATGATTTTTTTAATACTAATAATTCTTTTAAAATAATTAAATGTGTAAAAAAAATTATAATTAATGTCTAAATGAAAATGTTTCTATACTCGAGAGGATTAAAGTGAAATAAACTCTATATGTATTTTCAATTTATTTAAAAAAAAAAATATTTGGAAGCAAACTATGTAATTACCTTTATTTTACAAACTAATATAATCTTCATGTGATGAATGGATTTATTTATAATTAATTTATAATGGCTAAAAATAAGTTTATTATATAAATATTATATTATGAATAGATAAACAATATTGAAGATGGCAAACATGTCAAACAGTCATCAACTAACAGCTACAATCAGTTAATTACTGTTATCAACTAGTTATACCATCTAATTAACCTAATCAGCTATCAGTTAACTACCATTTACCAAACACAGCCATTGTGTTAATTGTAATTTTTTTATAGCTAATTATTTTATTGTGCGTTTTTTTTCTCTAAAATATTTTAATTGTAATGGTTATTTTTGAAACATTAATATTGATAAATTTAAATAAGCATTGATTTGTAAATGATAGATGTAAAAATATCTGAATTGCATATATTTTACTTGTTAAATGTAACAGTTCAATTACATACATTTTAAATTCAATGACCCATTTATATAAAAGTTATAATTTCAATAATTTATTTGACACTATATTTTAATATTTATAATAAATACATGTATAACATTTTACACACCGGGCATC